TCCTGAAACGAGAAGATTGAGGAAGCTTGAGTATTGATCCTGTGAACGAGAAGATTGAAGAATCTTGAGGATTGATCCTGAATCGAGTTGGTTGACAAAATTGGAGGTTCGATTTGGTTGAGTCTATGTGTATTCCGAGGGTAATGAGATGAAGCCAGCCCGATGTGGTGAGATTGATCAAACCCATAGATCTAGTTAAAAACATTTTATTACACATAAATAGTGTTTAAGATGTTAGAGAAGAAGGGGTAAAATATAGAATACAATGTATAATAATTACTGGGTTAAAACATAGCTAAGATAAAGCCCAAGTCAGGCCTAAAATACATAAATCCTTATGAATAATAATTATACAAATAGACTGTAAAAACACATAAAGAGATACTACATCCATCTTAGATTGGTAAATCAAGGTATTGATCAGAAAGTACTTCACAGACTAGCTTTAGAAAATAACTCTCATACTAATTAGTCTAAGAATACCATTCTCATAGCAATTAATCTAAGAATAGGCCTCATATAGTAAATTTACAACCTCTTGTATTAGAAAGGTACTTAGAGATTAATTCATATCAGATTAGGCCATCTCAGAGTAGTAAAAACCACTCTAGAAGTACCCTTCTCAGACAAACTTGTGTTCAGGCCAAAAACCCATGTACTGCAGAACAATTTGTCTATAAATAGAGGCTCTTCTGGCCCATGTTTCCTTTCTCCCTCCTCATGCTAGCTACAGAACAGTAATCAGAGATATTACTCAGCTTTCATCACCCTTGATTAAGAGATCCTGAGATTGTTAGAGCCCTTGAACTCCCCTTACCTCAATTTTGGCCATAGAAAAGTAATTCAGAAATATTGCTTAGCCGTTCTCACCTCTTTGAAAGATTTAGAGAAATCAGTGTACCTTTATCAGAGCCCAGAGAAACCAGAGAGTCTTATAAGATCAGAGAACCAGAGAGAATTTATAACAGATATAACAGAGAAATCCCTTCAGAAACCCTTATTACTCAGAAAACCCCACAAACTCCTACCTCTTCAACAGGTATTCTTAAGCAACAATAATAGTAGTATCAACACTAAGATAAATTTAGAAATAAGCCACACTCTTATTTTTCTTAGTGTAACTTTCCCGCAAGCTAGACAGGAGGGCAGTCTGACTCTCACCCACACACCAATACTAATTCTACTAGTTCATAGTTTTATTAGCTATTTTATCCCCTCCAAGCTCTTTACTCACTTGCTGAGCAGTTCCACACCGAGCACAACGCATATGCGTTGTTCAGATGAATTTGGATCAGAAGACACTGGCACTCACCTTTGACTCCACAAAGCAATATGAGCAAGCGTGATGATTACACAACAAGGGTGAAATAGACCATGTAATCAACTGTCTTGATCAAACATAAAAAACAAATAATAACAAAAACACTCACTGAGGCTGGGCCAGGTGCAATGTCCAAAGGACGATTGTTTGTGCGGTTAATGGGCCGGTGGGTCAGATGAATTTTGGTCGTTTGGGATTGAAATCAAGTGTAATTTTGGGGAGTGAGTGAAGTCGTTGGGTTAATGGGCAGGTGGGTCGGATGAATTTTGGGGAGTGAGTGAAGTCGTTGGGTTGATGGGCAGGTGGGTCGGATGAATTTTGGTGGTTTGGGATTGAAATCAAGTGTAAATTTGGGGAGCGAAGTCCTTTGGGATTGAAATCGAGTGTAATTTTGGGGAGTGAAATCTGGGTGGTTGAATTTGAAATGGGGAGTAGAAAAAAGCTGGGTGAAATGGGGGGCAAAAAAACATCTTTCGGGGCTTCAACATGCGGTTGTTAACGACTTGCCCATCAAAAGCAAATAAAAAGACTTACCTATGCAAAGTGGGCCAGTGTGATTCCACGCATCTTAGCCCTAAGATCATAATTCGGAACATCGTCATCATCACAGTCACTTTCACTGTCTTCAGGAGCCTCATCTTCATAAAGATCGTTCCATTGATCTTTGAGATCGGCCAGCAGATTGTGTAGAACGATGCAAGTAACTATCCATTTTACAGCCCCCTTCATCTCTTCAGCATTACGGATTTGAGTTCGAATTTCTCGTAAGCTTGCAAAACGACCTTTGAGAATGCCAATGGCATGTTCAATTCTGACTCGAGATTGTGCTAGGTGGTAGTTGAAATTGATGTTGCGACGTTTGAGCAATTGTTTGCCTTTGAATGCAGGGACAACATAACGATTGTTGGTGTAGGCTGAGTCTGCCAGTAGGAATTGCTTTTGGTCAAAGTACTTTTCAGGTTGCTGGGCCACTTGCATGTGCGAAAACACATAAGCATCGTGTGATGAGCCAGGAAATCCAGCCAAATAAGAAATGAACTTTTTGTTGATATCACATATGACCGTTACTGAAATGGAGTATCTGATCCAGAAAATAACAATCAATCAACAAGGGTGATTTTTTATATAATTCAGCAGTATCAAGAAGCTAACCTCTTCTTACGATCAAAGTAATGTTGCCCATCCTTGGGGGGCTTCTGACTCAAAGGGATGGTCGTTCCATCTACAAATCCCACACAGCCAGGGAATCCTTCCTCTCGCATGACCTGAGATGATTCTATTCGTTCAGATTCGGTAGGCCAAGTGACTAAAGAAGATCGTAATCCATAAACAGCATGAATGACTCGTCTAGTATACAGGTCGATTGTTCCAAACCCAACTTGAAACAGATTTTTGAGCCTGTAGATAGCTGAACCGTTTCCATTTGATCCAAGACGACATACTGCTACAGCAATTTGGATTGGTGGATCCCTTTGGGGATTACGAGAGTTGTTGTAGAAGATGGGGTTTTGTTCGATGAGCTGTACCAGGTTGAGGAAGCAAGGAAAAGTCATACGAAACATCTGCACAAAGCTTAATTCTGGAAGTTCTTGAAGCTCAGACAAGTCATAACGAGGATCAAATCGTGTCGTGGAGTTTCGAGCTACTAGGTATCGTTTTTGAAGCTGGCTCATAGAGAAAAAGTAAAATTCTTCAAGTTCTGAGTCGTGATCTGAATCTGAATCGTCCATCATGGCCATTGCAGCAACATTGGATGCTTCGATTATTTTCTTTCTTCGAGATACTTTGGGCATGATTGCTTTTGAGGACTTGAGTGGAGGCGATCTTTGTGTTGATGATGATGAGTTGGTGGTGGGATGATTGGTGCTGATGATGTGAAGTTTGGGTGGTCAGATGATCAGTTTGGTGGGTGGGATGATCGGTGCTGATGAGGTGAAGTTTGGCGGTGCAAGTGAAAATTGGCGGTGATATGAGTTGAAACAAATGGGATATTTTAATTGACTGGTTTGGGTGAAAAGATGTGTGTTTTTTTGTTCAAAACCCGTTGGGGTTGATGGAGGTGGATTTTGGAAACCCGTCAATTAATAATCGTGGATTTCAAAAAAATAATTGACGGGTTTGCAAAGGTGGATTTGCTATATTTGATACCCCCTAAGAGCATCTCTAACGGAGCCGCTGTTGCGCGACCTCAGACCAACTTTGGCGGCCCGGAAGGCATTTTTGGCCTCCAGCGGACCTGCTGATTGAGACGCCAAAGTTCGCGGGGGTCGATCAAACCCGCCATAGGCTGCCATCTTTGGCAGCTCTGGTCGGAGCCGCCACTCGCCTCTTCAATCACCACACCACCGACAACAACAACAAACATCACCATGGTCAACACCACTCCCAACACACCAGCAGCCCCAACTCGTACTTCACCACGGAAGCAAACCACTACAGAGAACCCCCAACCCAACAATGACGAAACCCCAAAACCTGCCGATGGCACAAAGCCAAAAAACCCTCGCTGGACCATCGAAGAGGACAAACTCCTCTGTGTTGCATGGCTGAACACCACCCGCGATGCTATAGTTGGAACGGGACAAAAAGCAACTACGTTCTGGGAGAGGGTCGCTACGTATCAAAAGAAACTCGTTCAAGATTACAACAACGAAAAGCAAAGAACCAGGGGCTTCAAAGAGCTCCCCTTCCGATTAACAAACGCCGTCGAGTGCCGTTGGGGCCATATCATGAAGGTCTGTAGCCGATTCTGTGGATGTTACAGCCAAGTTGAACGTCGATTATCGAGTGGAAAAACCCGAGATGATGTGGTCAGTCATCTTCTATCCAACTCCGTTCAAATGGAGATGTATTTACCTGACTGTCTTGCAGCTTGCCGAGGCCAAAGAGCTTTACAAAGCTCAGTATGAAGCCACCTTCAACCTAGACCATTGCTGGGGTATCTTGAAAGACACCCCAAAGTGGCTGGCGACTCAACAAGAAAACGAACTGAAGTCCAAAAAAACAAAAGAGCCGAAGGAGCCAAGTGTGACTCCAGCCACCGACGAGACTAATCCATCGAGTCCTCCTCCTGAAGCTCCTGCCGACGACGATATTGGGGCCGATCGAGGTGTTCTTGGCGATGACGGCCGACCAGATGGAAATAAAGCGGCAAAGCGAAAACGCAAAGAGGACCTCATGCTTGAAAAGGTCATCAAGATGCAGGAGGAGATGGTCAAAGTCTCTCAAGAACGAGCTGCTACTGTCAAAGCAGCAATGCAATCAGCAGCCGATGATCGCATCATGTCAACTGATCTTACCGGAATGGACGATGAGACACGGGCTTATTGGCAAAAAAAGAAAAGGGCAATCTTGGATCGCCCCGAGTAGTCGTTACCTCTTATTTAATTTTTTTTTTTTTGCAATAAATAACATTTAATTTTTTTTTGCAAGAAATAAATACATACAAAGATTGGAGAGAGAGATTGAGATTCAGATATTTGAGAAAGTAAGAAAGTGAGATAAAAGTGAGACAATCAAGTAAGATGAATGAATAAGTTTGAAAAATACAACCAGGAAGCAAAAAGTAAGTAATATAACTAATCCTCTGAGCCCTTTTTTTTCCATAAGTGTTCTATTAAGTCTTGTTTGAGTCGATCATGTCCGTCAATGTCTCGGATGGCTTGGTACCGGAGGAGGAAATGCTGAAAATCCTGCTCCGATGATTCGCTAGTCGATATCCCCACTTGTGTGCGGATATTCTGATGGTAATCAAACTGGTTTGCCAACTCGCTTCCGGTTTCATCTTCAATAGTCATATTGTGAAGAATGATGACGGTCTTCATAATCAAACACAGCTCTCCATGCTCCCAAAGCCGTCCAGGATATCGGATGATAGCATATCGAGCTGTAAGACACCAAATGCTCGCTCAATAATCTTTCCGATACGCCTCTTGCATTTTTGCGAAATGCTTGTTTTTTGTCCTTGAGGTTCGGAGATCGACTGAATGAGGGTTGAGTACTTTGGATATATCGCATCGCTGAGATAATAGGGCTGGTTGTAGATTTTTTCATTGACCTGGTAAGAAACCGAAGGAGCAGTCCCATCTTGAGCTTGCTGGAAGAGAGGGGATCGATCAAGAATGTTGATGTCGTTGAGTGTCCCTGGCAAGCCAAAAAAAGCATGCCAGATCCACAAGTCATGGCTGGCTACAGCTTCAAGCACAACTGTTGGTTCTTTTTCTTTTCCAGTATAAGTCCCATGGTCTGCCTTCGGGCAGTTTTTCCAACACCAATGCATACAATCTAGCGAGCCGATCATTCCAGGGAATCCTCGGTCTTCAGAAACAGCAAGAATTCTTTTTAAATCTTCTTCATTTGGGCTTCGTAAGTACTCGTTGCTATAGATATCAACAACCGCACGACAAAATCTCTTGAGGCTCTCCAGAGCTGTACTTTCACCTAGGATTCAAAAGAAGTGTATTAAGATTGAGTCGCTCATTCAAACAAACACAAGAAAACCACTTACTTATCCGAAGGTATTCATCAATAGAATCAGCACTGTATCCATAGGCCAGCATCCTCAAAGCAGCAGTGGCCTTTTGTAACGGTGAGAAACCCAAACGACCGGCGGCATCTCTCTTTTGAACAAAGTAATCATCCTTCTCGACTATTGCATTGACTATCCTTAGAAATAACGGCCTTCTCATCCTGAAACGCCGACGGAAAAACTCTTCTGGGTAAGTCGGTTCATCGGAAAAGTAGTCCTTGAATAGCAGTTCATGACCTTGAAGCCGGTTCCGATTGATTTCCTTTTGTCCAAATGTTGATCCACCTCGCTTGATTTCTCGATTTTTACGTTTGATGAGCAAAACAACTGTTGTCTGGAGCGAAGCAAGTAAGTCGTCGTCTTCCTCGATCCAATCCATGAGCTCGATCGGGTCCATTTTGAGGGGAATCGTAGGTCCAGAGGTATGGGTTTGGTGCTGGGTTGGCCAAAACGGATGCCAGGACCCAACTCACCCCGGCTTGCTTTGGACAGTCCATTATTTGGACACTTGTGACAGAGCTGTGACAGTCCGGGACATGTGGTCGCGGGCTGCTAAAGGCAGCTCAATCCACCCCCGGACCGTTGTGGTAGTTATTCCTGTGTTTCTACGCTAAAAATATAAAAATTTATTCTCATCTTTTTCTACATGAGATATAAGGTAAAATCAACATCAAAAATGGATTCCTGAGGTAAAAGAACCCCTAGTCACCCACTACAACTACCCCCTTATCTCTATTAGTTCAGAAGTTACACCTATTTCAACCTATCACAGGATATCTCTTGGATTCTTTACTCTGACTATAGCTCAATTTGAATACTGGATGCATATTGGATATTGAGTTCCTTTGTTTCATATTGAATTCCTTTACTAGCTCATATTACATATTGAATTCCTTTGTTGGTGCACATGCATTCCTTTGTAGCAGGACCTTGTAGGCCAGCCAAAATCCCTCAAGGCTGTGCTATCACTAGCTAAATTCTCCTCACCTGCATGTACTAGACTAGCTAAATTCCCTCATTGGATATTCAGGCCAGCTAAATTCCCTCACCTGCATGTACCCTGGAGCTAAATTCCCTCACTTTTGTCTATATAAGGAGGCCTCTGCCTGCCAGTTGTATTCCCTCCTCATCAGATGCTCTGTAGTCAGTCCCCCCATAACACTACATCACTGGTCACTCTTCAATACTATCAGCTACCTAGTATTGAGGTTTTACAATTACAACCCCCCTTTATATATATCATAACAGTTCTTTATAGTGTAGAAATAACAATATTACTTTTTTTCATAACCATTAAGCTATCTCACCTTTGCCTGAAATCCACTGCTTTTTGCCCTTATACACCCCAACCGCAAGGACCTGGGTTCAATTCCCATTCAAGACATCCACTTTAACTCCACTTTAACTCCACTTCAACTCCATCTTAACTCCACCTTAACTCCAACTTACCTCCACCTGTGCCTGGTCCTCCGTTCCATTCCTGGTCGAAGCATAAAATTCATATACCATCAACCTCGAGGTTGCGCGTTCAAGCCTCACTCTCAACACTTATCATTGACACCTCTATCAACAACTTCATCAACAACAATCATCAACACCTTCAACCGTTATACGTATCATTTGACAGCTTCATCTCGAACTATCCTCTATCACGATATATAAACTGCCAAGCTGAGCTTGGTGGTCTTGTTGTTCTGATAGCATAGAAGGGCAGAGCTTGCAACTCCATCATCCCCTTCTCCATTCAGCAAAAGGGTTTCACAACCACTTTTGAGTCTTACACCGTTAGAGATGCTCTAATGTGTCTAATTTCAGTATTAAAAATGAACCATTGAGTTTTCAGAAAATTGGATTTTACCATTAAATTCTACACGTATTAAAACCCAGGAAATAAATTTAAAATTTCAAAAAAACATAAAAAATAAGGTACAAACAGGTATGCAAACAATGAAAAATGAGTGAAACAAAATATATTAAAATTCATTTTTGTGGAAAATGGTTCTTACCATTAAACTCTACACGCATTGAAACATAGGAAACAATTCTAAAAATTCAAAAAAACTCAAAAAATAAGCGGTAAAAAATTAATTAAAAAACCGCGTGTACACGCAGAATCCGTGTGTGCTGTGCCGCAGCAAAACCGCGTGTAAACACGGATTTACCGCGTTTTTTATTAACACCCTTAATAAATGGTGTGATATAATAGAATAATTGTGTTTAGCCGCTTGAGACTTGGCTGCAGTGAAACTTATCCTGAATAACATTGAAAATTGCAACATTTTAGATTGAGTTGAATACCAGCTTAATGGTTAAATGTAAGCTATTGAGGTTATTGAAAGTTAATTTTCATGGTAAAGATGTCCCATAATATTAAGGTGTTCAAAACCACATATGGATTTTTTAGTATAATAGTATAAAGTGAGATTTGGCACGGACCTGTCAGGATACTTAAGAAATTAAGACTCAAATTGACAGGGCCCAGCCAAAATTGCAGTTTATACTGTTAAGCAAGACTTTCCACATGCAGTTTTGCACACCATACAGGTTTTCAAACAATAATTCATCATAAATCACATTGAATTAAGTGGAATGATAAATTAATGTTTAACCATCAGCTGCTGACATTCAAAGCCACCTGTAACCTCTTGTAAGCATAAAATAATCAATGATTTTGGCTGGGATTATGTTATAAGCAGGCCCCAGCCAAAAGTAATTGTTGTTCTTATCTTTATGTGTTTATACATCCCCAATGCATGTCCCTATTAGACAGTTTTTCAATTGCTTCATCTTGAGTTGTAAAGAGCAATGGTTAAATTGGAAACAGTGTGATGCCTGGATGAGAAAACTTGGAAACAACCCATATTGCAGCTATGAAGTTAGTGCATATGCATCAGTTGAGACAGACTGATAATTTTTCTGGAAGTTGTTTGTCTTCCTTTTTGTAATGCTTTTCAGTCAACAACCAGATGATTGATTGATCGGAGAGAAAGAGAAATGCGATATTCTCTACAAGCTTTGCCGCAGTCGACTCTGATGGATCCGGTATAAGCATACTGGGCTTATTCAATTCAGGCTGCGTGATGCATCATGATTTGAATGCATATATATGTAAATGCACAGCTGTCCCGTTTTGAATCGGTCTAAGTGCATACACCACTTCAGCCCACTCGGGCTTATGTCAGCAGCTCAGCCTGAATTTACCACTCGGCCCGACCTCTTTATAAGCCACCCCCCCACTACCCCACCACCCATCGCCCACTGCGACGGTCAACAAGAAAAACACTCAACCGACCGATAACCATCCCACAACCAACCCCATCTCTCATAACATCCCTCATCCCACATCCAACATGGCTGGAACTACCATCTCTCACTCCACCCCGGGGAAACAGATGGAGCCGAATCTCAGAAAGAAACGGTCATCGAACCAGCTTTCCAACACCAAACAAGTCAAATCGAACACCGGAAGGTGGAAGAACAGGCCAAACAGACCTCAGCTTCAGTGAGTCGCCCACTGCGAATGAAAACCTAGAAATTGTATCATGCTGTAGCTGATATCGGTCCCTTCACCTCATTCCTAGGCTAAATGCAGCAGAGCGGAAGCAGGTCCATGATGTCAGTTGCCACTGTATCTCGCGACCAACTCGGATTGACACAGAACCTAAACGCTGATTTAGAGTCTCATCCTCCACATCTATTTGTACGCAAAATAAACAGCTCTTGAAAAGTTTCAGCGGCCCAAAGAATTTCGCATTGCCACTCGACCTTCCACCTTGGTCACCGCCATCACTACTCGAAGATATCACTCCGGAATTGATCATCTTTCGCGATTATGGCTCAAGTCTTGACGACTGGGATCGTTCAGAACTCAAGGAGGAACAAGCCAGACATCCCACTGAGCCAAACAACCAGAACGAGTGGCAAAAACCTTGTGAGTTATCACAAAAAATTAATAAAGCTAAAAATCTTTACGGCCCTGGACAGCGCTTTCTGAGGGTATTTGAAACGTCTCATCATTAGGTGGACCTGTTCACAACTCCAACCAATCGTCCACCAACTCTCACCCGACAACTACAATGGCCATCAACACGGCTACTGCCAGCTCTTCCTCAGCCTCTCCTGAGACATTCAGCTCTCCAACCGATCAACCACCCAAGCCCAGCAAAGGAAGGAATGGCCATACCGAACCGAGATATGAAACAGCTCGGAATACCAAAATTCCATCCGAAGTACAGCCTGATCGATCAGCGGTCTCAATCAAAGGCAAAGGCAAGGCTGACCCAGAGATTGATTGGACGGGATGGGAGGCTCAGCACTATAACAGGAATGAACTTGAAAGAATGCAATCCCGGTTAGTCACCATGGAGACCTTTTCTAAATTTCATGAGCGATTGCTGAAGCGAGTGGTTTTTTTTTGAACGGTAGGTATGCGGATCGAGCGAGAGAATTCAAGAGATTATCTGATGTTCAACGACAACAGATATCCCAAGCCCGTGCAGCCCTACCTGACCCCAGGGCGCCGATCCCAGAAGAAGCAGAAGTGATGAGCGACTTAGCGGCCGTTGGATGTGTGGACTCGCTCCTGCTCTTCACACAATCTTTCCTGGCTACCGAGCTCTCTAGACCAACAATGACTCGGACTGATCAGTGTTCTCAGTGGAGTAGCATGATCGGATTCTTGGAAGTGGCTAAATCAACTACTCGTCGGTCGGGCATCCAGCTCACACACGCAATTTGGTAAGGACTTTTGATTTGACGTAGACAGCTTTTCTGTGAATGAGATGCTGATATGTTCTTTTTTTGGATATTATCAATCGGTTCCAACAGCTTAATGTATGAAAGCTTGCTTCTCGACCGACTGGTCGAAGCTGATAGGCCGATCCTACTTCAGACTTATTCCCACGAAACAGACACAGAAAAACTGTTAGAAGGGTTCAAGAAGCTGAAGCGGATCATGAACTACCAGGAAATTTCCAAGGCATCCTGGCTCTCGGCCGAGAAGATCTTTGACCGGATCCTCTCACCTTCATCCTCACCCGCCCCCGCATCAGCGACGAACCCAATGGAGTCAGATAGGAGTTACCGGACGATCGGCTTGCCCAAGCTGAAAGCCTTACTCCAGCATATGCGTGTTCGCGAGCGCAATAATGCCCCCAGACTCTTGAGCGTAGATCGCCCCTACAGGTTTTGTTGGCCCCTCGACAAAACTAATCTCGACTCAATGGCCGACTTCGTCGCTTTCTCCAGATGTGCTCTCGACGAATTCCTTGAAGCCAATCACACCCGAATCCGCTTCAAGCTCGCCAGGTTCGACGATCAGCACATCGTCTTTCCAAATCAAACTCCGAAGCCTCCCTCCTGACACAAAATTTGTGTCCATTTTCACTCTCAACTTTAACTTATATATTGTTTAGTTAATCTTCTCCTTCTTGCCATCGATTATTGTAACATCAAATGTAAAAAAAAACATCATCTCAATGGGTCGTTCCAAAAAAAAGTAAAAATCTGGTTTTAAATTGGGTGAATTAGACCCCGGACCCCGGGGCTAAGTTTTCCATGTGAAGACTCCCAAAATGTTGGTCATCACACACAAGTGACTGCTCATCTGATGGTAGGAGATATGTTAGGAGACATGTCAGGGTTTGTGCCACTTACGGAGTTATCCATAGTGCTCTGACCACTAGCTAGTGGTTTGGAGAGAGAGAGAGAGGATCATAGAAGTGTTTGCAGGTAGTTTTCTTCGATGCTGCTTAGATAACCTCAGTAAGACTTACGCGTAATCTTCCTGTAGCGACAGGCCAGGAATTCACTCACTGGAGAGAGATCAGAGCTGAGAAATCACGGATAACACGCAGAGTAAGAAGCTGGGTAGATATCAATGGAGGAGGAACAAAAGAGAGCAGTTGGAGGTAAAAAGCTGGAGGTAAAAGTCGCCTCAACCGGTTCAGCAGGTGTTGTGGATGACTAGATATGATAGGAGAACAAAAAGAGAGCAGTTGGAGGTAAAAAGTTGGAGGTAAAAGTCGCCTCAACCGGTTCAACAGGTGTTGTGGATGACTAGATATGATAGGAGAACAATCGGGCGGATGCTGTTCTGATCGGTTATAGGCGCCTTTCTTATGTCTAGAGCCACGCTACTTTAGTTTGAATCTTAGTTCTCAATAAGGGAGAGAGCTACGATCGTCGCTGGTATCTAGTTTAAATATTATTCCTACTAGTGTACTACTGGCTGGCTTGTGCTACATACATAGAGGATAAAGGGGTTGGGAAAAGGGGTGGGAAAGGGTGGCAAGCATAGGCTAACTTGAATAAGTACCTCCCTCTTACGCGACGGAGTGGTGAGACAATCCCCCTCCTCCTACACTTTCAGAGGGACTGATAAGTTAAGGTACATAGGACAGGTGTGGATAGTTTAGTCCGCTGCGTTCAACTGCGCAGCGGTTAACTTCCCAATTCTCACTTCAATCTGTATTCATTATCACTCTGTTGTTGTGTGCTGTTACATATACAGCTCAGTTCAAACCTTGATCTTATAAAATCATTGGAGGACTTTCCGTTGGGATCTGCAGGCGCCTCATGAAGCCTCAAAAGCTAGATCTCTCTGCAAAAACCAGACTTTTTGGGGTCTCAGTCAAAAACTGGGAGGGCCCCGGATCCAACAGGAAGTCACCCATTATAAAATCAGCTGGTGTCATGCTACTTCTGAATTTTGGCTGGATTCAAGTGATTATGTGGCCCATGAAGAAAACCAAACCAAACATCCTCAAATATTTTCTGGGAAAAATGGGATTCCACTATGAGTGTTGCTCCCACCAAAGCCCTAGGAACTCACCATGCCAGTTTGTCAACGTTAGATGGAAGTCTCCCCTGCAAGGAGTTCCCTCCGGGAACCACCTCACGGCCAGGGCTATGCTTTCAGATGAACCCTATGCAGCAAAACTTGGGTTAACTTTGGTGAATCAGAGTGTAAAACCTAATCAACTGGCAGAGGTCTCTGCCAGTCCAACAGGCTGTAAAATCAATTTCAAACTTACTGGAGGAATTTCTAGTGGGTCCAATTAAGCTGCACTGGGGCTTTTTGCTTGCTCTGAGAAGTTTCAATAGGCTGTTGGCAGTGTGCAGTGCAGCTCTCCATCACTGCACTAAAGCTCCATGCGGTGTGTGGGCACTGCACTAAGAGTAATGGCGCTTCATGCAGTGCAGCACAGCCTTTCACCATTACTGTAATGAGAAAAAAAAAGAAAAAAAAGAAAAAACAACAACAACACTGAACCAGAAATTTACTCTCAATTTTTACATTGGAGAATAAATGCAAAACTCTGTAGGAAATGCAGAATCAATCTAGAGCCTTTATCAATAGATTTCCTTGACAATTTATAGAATCATTTGTTCCAAATTAACATCTTTAGGGGCAGAAGATCCCACATGAAGTATTCCAGTTTTCCACTATAGTTATGCATTTGTTATGGCCATTTTGTATTTCTGTGGTCAAGTCAAGTTACAACTGACTTACACATAAGTTCCAGAAGATTTGTGGATAAATGTCAGATAGTTGCAATATCATTTCACATCTGATTATGTGTATGAAATGGTATGCATTTGGAACAGTTATGAGAAAGTTACAGATATGGTGCAAGTGCCCACAAAGCTCCTGTGGTGTCAACAGATTTGAATGAATAGGGTGTGTGAGGGTTAATCCAAGGTTCTTGAACAAGTTGAAAGATAGGAAGATCTATATCTGGGTTGCTTTTTTTGTACGTAAACATCATTTAGAATATTTTTTCAAAGGACAAAGTTTGTAGAGGACATCTAATGCTGTTTGGAGGATGGTGAAATCAGGTATGTATTTTTTTCAATTTGGTGGCGAGATGGAGCCCTTTTGTGTGGAATGCAATTGACACTAATATTTCTAATGTCATCAGAATTACAGCCTGTGGAATTGTGTTTATCTGCACATAATCTAGACACTGGGGAATTTTTATAAAGCTGAGTAATATGTCCAATCTCTAGCAATTGAAAGAGAAAAAAAAATCAGAGGCACAATTTGGCAAAACAAGAAGGTATTTAAATTGATTTGGTTCAGGAGAGCTTTTTTGTCCTCTGAGCTCATTGAAAAAATCTGTCAGACTACTGCTTGGACAGCTTGGATATGCTTGTCCAAGCAGGTAGTAATTATACTACATGTCACACTCAGGGGACCAAGGGTTACTTTAGGATTTGGAAACATAGGAATTCTTCCATTGGAATATATTATGTATGACAGGAGTTACATCAAGAGTAAACTGCATGTCAACTGCCACCAATTTGGTGAGTTTTTTCATAGTGAATTGAAGTGTCAAGATCATTTCATTTGAAGAAGACAGATGTGCTGAGAAGTCAGGAATATTGCTTCAGTACAAAAACAAAAGTAAATTATATTGATTAGGGGGTGGGGAATATCATTATTGGTTAGATTCAATTAAAATGTCAAGTAATTATTAGAGGTATAGATTATAGATTTGCTAAAAAGTAAAAGATATTCTCCCAGTATTCAGAAACAAAAAAAAACGTAAATTATGATGATTAGGGAAAAATATTATTGATGTGATAGGATGGAGTAAATGGTTATTAAAGGTATTTTTGGGATGGGTGCAGAAGAAGAAACATGTGAGAAGGAAGGTTAACACTATTGGACTGTTCTGAAGTCTTCGGGTTTAGAAGCGAAATCTGAGGAATCATCGTCCGAGTCAGAGCCGCAGTCGCTATCTTCCTTTTTGGGTTTCTTAGCCGACTTGCTTGATTTTTTCTTCGAAGCTCGTGATTTCTGGTTGGATATATGCGGAAGATCTGCTTGGGCGGTGGTCGGCTCGGATTCAGAGGTTTGTTCGGCGACAGCCTCGCGATAGTCTTCGATGGCTCGTAGAAGAGTGGTGGTCGGCACGGTTTCATCCTCTGGAGAGTCTGTTGGGCTCGCTTGTTCGATTAGCTCCGGAGCGGCAGATTCAACTGGTAATTCATCGGTGGTTGATTTGACGGGGGTGACAGGTATGATCATGTATTCATCTGATGGAATCGGTGCCACTGGTGCGGCTTTTTTTGCTTTGAATGGCTTTCCTCCGGGGAGGATGGGGACGATCTTGAATTTAGATCCTCCTGACTTGGATGATTCTTCTTCGGTTTTCTTTTGAATTTTCCAGATCACATTGTTAGGTAGTGCCCCAGATGGGTTGGAGACCACAGTTCTATCGACGAAGGCTGGGCGCAAGGATGCGACGCGCTCTTTGTGATACTCTCCGTCGTGTGATTTTTCATCTTTATGATCCGAGCTTTCAGTAGCACGAGTGTGGGTTTCACTCGAAGCTTCGTGTGAAGGAGTCGAATTGGATTGGTCATGATGAGAAGGTGATGTGTTGTTCCAGTCATCATTGGCAAGTTTTGATCTCTTGGATAATCGGGATGGTGTTGCGTAGTTCAAACGTTCGATCTCAACTCTTGTCTCGTGAGCATTCGAGCGTTTCATCGTTTTGTCCACATGTCTTCTCGGGCTGGAAGCAACGGAGCGCGCTTCAGCAACGGTGGCTACAAACATGGACGTGAAAAAAGTGGTGTCAGAACTGTTTTGCTCTCATTCAAGGTAAACAAAGATCTATCAAGAGAGTCTTTACTTACCACCTAAGACGACGGCTCCAGCGGCAACAATGGCAAAACGCATCTTGTGTTTTGTGGCGAGGGTTTGTTAGAAGGAAGTTTGGTGATTGAACAGGGAGGAGATGTGAGGAAAGCGGGATTGGTTAATTTAGCCTATGAGTTATGGAAGTGGACTTGTGAGAAAGAAAGCTGTTGTGATCTCGAGTATGGATCTTTTGAGTGGTATTAGAGAGGATGTGTTGATGAGGATGAGGATGAGAGAGGTTGATAGCGTCCTTGAGGTCCTCTATTTATACCTTTTGCCGCACCGCCATGAACATCACGAGGACCTACTTTCGCTGAAGAGGAAAGGCTGAACTGTGTCCGGTCAGGTTGACAATCCACCTTCAGCCCACTCTTCGGCGCGATAACTATTCAAACTCAGACTGCAACATTTAGCCCGGGTTCAGTCACAGCCGAGGTTCATATTCTACGGGGAGGATGGCTGGCTTTCCTCCACCAGAACCCGCATGATGCGCATCCAGTCCGACCAAAACTATTGGTCATATGATGGGATGGCAGGTAACACTAGGAGGGAGAGACCAACCCAGATCGGAAAGTTTTGGTTAAATTGGAGAAGGCTTGCATTGCCAGCCAAAAATGGGACACGTGCGCTCGGCCTGGAGCAATCTGTGTGTCTCGGCTAAAACTTGGACCCGGCCGGACCCTCAGGCTCGAGCAAACCTGGAGACTTGCGAATACAGCTTTCCTTTCTTGGAGCACCTGAATGCCAATTTTTCAAATCATGCAGCCATCGCCGCACTCAAGGGTGTCTCAATGCCTCTTATTGGAAAAAATACTCTTGAATACACGAGATGTAGGACTCTTTCACAGAAGCTGAGTTATAATATTGGCTGCAAAATGTATGAGATAGCTTTGGTCTGAGTGAGACTACCGGTACAACATGATGTTAAGCTAAGCTATAAAAATGTAATAAATGATCCCTTTGTTCGATTTTCATCAGGAATCTACTGTCCATTTATGATTTATGAGTCTTTGGCCACCAAGCCTTCCACACCCATTAGGTTTGGCACTTTTCACTTGGCGTTTCGTTGAGCGAATCCAATGCGGACATTCTTCTGGTCGAAAACGGCGTATACGCTCTTCAAGAAAGTGTCACCCACTAAATATTTGAAGATGATATCAGTTGATGAAATATTTTTGATTGAGAGTATTTATAATGAGGAATTTACTTACAGATGTCAAATGGATTGTTGCCACGTGATTGAATACCACCAAAGACCATTCCTTTTTCTGGAGGGCCGTAGGCCAAAGATTTCCCCGGAATCGTGTACATTTTCTCACCGACAGCCAGTTGGACATCGGGCACCTGAGCATCAACAGGGTACACGTAGCCACCCTGGCTTCTGTCCAAGACGGCACCAGGGATCTGCTTGTAAAGAGCAGCCGTGACGGCTTCAGATACCAAGGCGAGCGTGGTTCCAGTGTCTGCTATCGCAGTATTTCCAGACAATTCAATCTCTTCATCGCCTATCTTTGCCTTGGTTGATTCGAAGGCCCAGAATCCCTGCTTGTTGTCGATTGGCGCATAGGCTATGTCTTTCTCCGAGACGCCGGCTTCTTCGGCACAAATTGTTCCGAATGAGTAAAAGCCTTTACCATCAGTATCGTGCTTTAAGCACACCGTGAACAATCCCTGGTCAGTGATGCTCTTCTCAATCATGTTTTGCATCGGGGTCTTCTGTTGGGGATTTGCCGTGTTGATTTGAGGCCACGCGAGCCCCAAAAGCCCATCGGAGCCTTGGCTGTTGAGGAAAGAGCTCGAAAGTTTCTGAGCAACCTCGATCCCTTGCTCGGAGCAGTGGAGGTCCCCAATCTTAATGTCTGACACGATTTTTCAATGAGTGATTCATATCTTCTGTGCAGAGAACAATGTAAGGAATGTCTTACCATCTCTGTAGATGACACCGCTGGCAGAGGATCCATCTCCATAAGAGATTTTCCAAGTACCGCCTGGAACCTCTTTGGCGGTACTCGACTTTTTGGGATCGTATACCACATGGCCCGACGCGGTCGGTTGACTGGCTTTGAGGTCTGCAAACAAGTAGGTATCCAAATATCAGGATTGTAGATTCTCTCCAGAATCAGTTCAGAGGAACTTACCAGATGACCAAACCCACAAGTCCGAGGACCCAGTATCGAAATCTAACATGATTTCGACACCCGGGGTTCCGATGGTCACCGGAACTACATATTCCAAATCATGCTGCACGAAAGATGTAAACGTCTTGAAAACTTTTTCATAAAATCAAATGATATTAAAATAAGATTATGGCTCAACTGCTATGCTTTCGGCAGGGACTTCGTGGTCAGAGCCATCCTCTTTAATCGCCAAGACGCGACCCTTGTTACCTTCAAAGATGCCAGTCTTGAAGTTATATCTGCGGACGGCCTTAGCATACGCCTGAGGAAGAAGAGTTGTTCAATTAGCGACATCGAAAAGCGATTGAGTCTGATTTGTGAGGGCATAAAAAACGTACTGCAGCCCCAGTGCGATGACTCTCTTTTCGCAAGGTGTTTTTGACTGGATAGAGGATTGCTTGTGACATTTTGTGTGTGCTGTTGATGCTATACTGTGAAGTTGTGTGAGTGGATGAGGGAAGTTGGAACCGAATAAGTCTGCAGTTATATAACTTCTGACAGCAGGACTCCTCACCTGAGGAAACGATTTGTCGATGGTCGTTCAGGCTAGTGGTTATTCCTCCAGTCTTGGAAGGGTAGTGGGCATAATCGAGGACTAGGGGTAGTGAAGATTTACCCTATAAGGTGGGATGTTCTGCTTACTGTTATGATGATGCTAGCTTCCTCTGATCCGGATAATTACTGCGTCATTGGAATAACACTCCACTGATCTATCCAGGAGTCATTTATCTTCCCGACAGGAGTTATGGAAGTTGATGCATTCTTCACTTGTGAAACCAACTTTTACGCCTGAGTCAACGAAGTTGTAAGGAGTGCAATTACAAAATCAGGAGACCCATCTAAACAATCCCTGGAAGTATCTGTGTCTGTGGAAAATGCGATGATGATCGTACAACCCATCGTTCCTAATTATAACCATCGACGATTCAAGAGACGCCAGGTGGGGGTACGACATTGAGGCACTTCAACTAGCAGCGATCTGATTATGCTTTCAGTTATATACCATTGAACCAATCGAATGATCATTACATCAAAGGAGGGCAGCCAACTATGCATGATGACCTTTCTATGATATTTTTTTTCTTTCCTTTTCAAACTACTGATCGTGGTCGATTGACCACCCGACCTTTCGTGCAACATAGGCAACGAGAACTCTGAAGTTCCGTTGGGCAGTTTGTATTTTTTTTATCAGAAACGTTCACTGCCCAAGGATGTTGCAGCTTCCAACCTAATGTGACTCAACCTATTTGATGGATGTTTCCTTAGTGGGACTCAGCACCCTGTATATCGACCGGCTTGGCAGCCATATAAGCCTTTATTTCAAAGGTGGTTTGAATACGCAATGTTTGACCTATGCAAAAAATGTTGTGTGCGTCGTTTTACATTTTCTTAGGGTCTAGTTGTCCCCAGTGCAACACAGCCGCTCTTTGGACTTCAGGATTTGTGTTTCCAAGTTTTAATCTGACTGGTGTCAGGTGACAGCGAATATTCAAAAGATCATCGTCCTACATCTGAAGAGGAATAAAATGTTAAGGATACTCCACAGCCAGAAATTGGTTTCCTCCTGAGTGCGACAAGGTGTAGCGGGAGGTACTTGATGACAATGAGGAAGGCAGTTTGAACCGTCCATGGGAATTAGCCCCGGAGATGGAAATCTCGTTGTCTACTCGAAGACACTCGAAAGTGACATTGGAACCGCAATGAAGCTTGTGTCCCGCCCCAACGTACCGTCTTTCTTGAACGCTGAGCACAAACTGAGACCCGAATTACTCCACTTTCTTTCTTTGGTCTTTCAGCATCGGTTGTCTTTCATCCGAGCCAGTGGGTACAAGCAGCATGCCGCCAGCACCTGGCCGGGTACGTATCACACTCTCAGCATCATGCTACTTCATGGGTGCTGGTGCGAAAAGAGGGCAGCGCGAGGCTGATTGGTGATGCCGAGCCCTCAAGCCAGCTCGGTGATATCAGCCCTAGGTGCTGAGCCCGGCGCTGCATTGCTGCTAATCCATGCTGAGCCGCCAGAGTAGATGTATATAAGAAGCCTCCACTGCCATTCCCTTTCCTCCCTTCCTCACTCACGCCACCAGCAGCAGACTCCACATCCTTGCAAACTAAACTAGCTCTTGGTGAAAAGCCTCCTTGAATATACATGCTACTACTATCCTCAGCACATTCTAGTCAACCTAACAATATTTTGCTTCTACAAACCCCGAGCCGTTCCTTTTCGCCGAGCTTCTGTCCATTAGCGACACGAATCAGACGGCACCCACACTCCGTTTCTAACCGACGTTCATGCATCTTCGCGATCTGGACACCGCTTCTTAACCGGTGGAGTAAATCTTTCACTTGGACAGCAACTAACCTTTTCTCTCTTTGCAAACTCAGCCGATTCAGATTCATGATATCATCAGGACCCCAAGTAAGTGGCCTTGTGAGCAGGGCACTAACGTTTGTGGAACTAGGATAATTTACCAACCGGCATCAGCCTTACCCGTCCCTCGCCGGCCGCTCTTGGAGAATAGTTTAATCCTCTGGCGCTTTAAGACGAGCGAATTCGGCCCAGGAATTTCGTACATCAGCCCGTGCTCTAACCCCTGATCACTCACAATGCGTCTACCGCCGAGCCTTATTCGCCTTCCGGCGATACAAACTGCTCTCGAAGGGTTCCCTACTTCGATTCGTACTGACTTTTGCATATCTTCGAATCGTGGCTAACACTTCTTAACCGGTGGTGCACAGTGCAAGTTTTTTTACTTTGACAGCCGATAACCTCTTCTTTGTTGGTAGACTACGAAAATCAGTGGGCTCAGGTAAGTGGCCTTACGAACCGCGCCGAAACGCTTCCTCAACTAGGATCATTTGACCCGCCGATCGTCGCCTTTCCCGTTCCTTGTCGGCTATTGGAGAATGGCCTACCTCGTCGCTACTCGCCCTCTCATGGCACGAATAACCTACCTACGCACGCGCCGCTGGTTTCCTAACTTTCGGATTTCTTCGCCATCTGGTTCTCGATCTAGTTCTCGCCCGTTGACCGATGGAGTAAGTTTTTTTTTTTACTTTGAAGGCCGCTAACGTTTCCTTTATTGGCAGACTTCGCCGAAACTCCAGCTTCGTAGTAGTGGTCTCAGGTAAGTTACCTCACGAGCCGCCCAGAAACGTTTGCGGAACTAGGATCATTTAACCCGCCGACAGCCGGCTTTCCCGTTCCTCGTCGGCTATCCGGGAATGATCTACCTCGTCGCACCTCCCCCGCTCTTGGCACGAATGTCCGACCTACGCACACGCGGCCGTTCTCCTCACTTTGGCGTTTCTTCGCGATCTGGTTCTCGCCCCTTCACCGATGGAAGTGAGTTTTTTTTAAACTTGACAGCGGCTAAGCTTTCTTTGTTGGCAGACTCCGAAAATCCAGCTTCGTAGTAGTGGTCTCAGGTAAGTGGCCTGAGTCCTGAGGAGCCGCCCAGAAACGCTTCCGGAACTAGGATCATTCAACCTGCCGACAGCCACGTTTCCCGTTTCTCAACATCCCCCCTTGCGGCTATTCGAGAATAGCCCTCGCTGCTCGCCCGCTCTTGGCGCGAAAGTCCTACCTACGTACACGCCGCCGGTCCTTTCACTTTCGCATTTCTTCGCGCTCTGGTTCTCGCCCCTAAATCTATGGAGTGAGTTTTTTTACTATGACAGCGGCTAAACTTTTCTTCGTTGGCAGACTCCGAACATCCAGCTTCGTAGTAAGTAGTGGTCTCAGGTAAGTGGCCTTGCGAACCGCGCCGAAACGCTTCCGGAACTAGGATCAGTTGACCCGCCGATCGCCGCCCTTCATGTTCCTCGACATCCGCCTTGCCCTTTCCTCGTCGGCTATTCGAGAATGGCCTGATTCGTCGCTGACCCACGTGCACGCTGCCGATTTGCTGAAGACGTCGTAGCCCGCCTTCTGAACCCCGCAATCTCCTCTCCTTTGGACGACCTTCCGTACTGAGTGACGAAACCTCCATGACGCGATTCCAACCCCAACTTCAACTCCAATGGGCGTTCACATATGCTTCGATCGCCACCTGGATCTCCCGCCCGAACCAGTAACGTAACTTTTTCTCTCGGTCAAAAGCTAACATTTTCTTTGGTTGCAAAATTCAATCAAGTCAGGTTCGTGCCAGCAGCGGCAGGTAAGTAGTCGACATCAACATTGGTGAAGTTTGCTACTCTAGTGTGGCTCGTTCCATTTGCTGCTAATGTCGAATAAGCTTCTACGCTCTCCCTCCTCTCATTGTAAATGGGCATATTAGTTACGCGCAAGGTATTTGCGCCATTGACCATTGTTGGTTAGTCCGGCCCTGTTCTTCGCCGACTCTCCAGAGAATCACCTGTCTCATCCGAAACACCTCGGCGGCTGAGGACCACCTTCTCTTCCAAAGGAATTCGCTTTCGCCTATCAACCCTTCCTCTGACTCAGGTCTCGTACTATCAATCTGCCGCCTCTGTCAATTTAAATTCTTAGCGCCCTGGAACGCCCCTGGAGAACTCCCTCCTCTGCTCCTTACCTGACTTCCCACATCCTGGCGATTCAACCGGTCAAGTCGCTTGGCCCTCTGACAGTTTTACTGATCTTTTCTTTTTTGGCACACTTACCACAAGGCCAGGTACGTAATACCAGCCTCAGGTAAATTGTCTCATTAGCCACTGCGGGAGTCTGAACAACTAGGATTGTTCAGACTCCCGCAGCCGCCTTTAGCCGTTCCCTGCTGGCTCTTCGAGAATGGTCGGCTTCATCGTTCGTTGCTCGCCGACTCTTGACGCGAATGGCCTACCCCCATCCACGCAGAGACGGACATCCTAGCCAAGCTTCTCACCAGTGCAATCCCTAATTATTGCCCACAAACCCAACTCCTTTCTTTTCGCCCACCAACCTCGCACACACAGTAGCCACGCGAACCGCTAACGACCGGCGTCTTTCTCCAACTACAATTGACGTTCAGACATTTTCACGATCTGGATCTCTACTAAGCGGTATTATTTTTTTTTCTCTCTCGGACAAGAATTGAAAGTATTTTCTTTTGTTTGCAACCTCAGCGGACCTCGATTCGTAATAGCCGGCTCACAAGCAAGTAGCTTTTCAGCTGGGCAAGAATATTTGCAAACCTAGATTGTCTCAACCACCAACATTAAATTTCCTGGTCACTCTTGGAAGAGCGCCAATCTGTTTCGGATCGTCTCCTCCGGCTATATAGCCAGGACGAGCTTCGTCTCCCCAGACATTTCCTTCCGGGCATTAGCCAATCGCATACGACGAGACTACTATTGACCCACCGTGTTTGCCTAGCGACTGTAACTGAAGAAAGACCGGAACCATGGATGCGATACACCTGTTATCGGGCTCCACTTTTCAATCAACTTGCTTGAACGCAAACTAGCCTTTTCATATTTATTCTACCCAGATCATCAGTATCTTCAGCTCAATCAACACAAGGTATGTTCCCTGATTCTGGTTGGTTAGACCTGGCACATCCTGAGGACGACGACGACGTGGAAGAAGTCTCGACGACCATCACGAACTTGTAAACAATTGCAAAAGGGAACCACACAGGGCTTCCTTCCGAAGGTTTCACTGTTGCTATCCTGGAAGAGAGCAGCCATACGCAGGCCAAAACCCAGCGGAAAGTATGAGTAATAACATAATTGATCTTAGACCCGAGACCAGTTGACCCGCGGTCGGCTCCAGCGTCTTTGAGCCACCGTTGATCTAGAATCGTTCCTTCCACGGCCATTGAGCTAACCCAACTTTTTCTAAGCATAGCTGCCCGGTCGTGCTTGCTGATACCCATTTGAGTACCCGATAAACAACATCCGCACTGCAGATCTCACTTTCAGCTCGGAGGAGCTACCACCGAGACCATCCGGAACTGCAAGTAGCTGGGCGGCAAGCCCCGACGGTAAGAATTTTCATAATCCATAGATGACATTGACAAGAATCTATTTCCGGGCTTGGGTTTCTTCATCAGCATCATTGCCCCACCACGGCTGATCTCCAAGTTGGCCGCGCTACGTTATGAAGGGGCATCGTGGCGCCGACTCGTCTTCACTCATCTAATTGGTCTCCCCCTCTTCTTCTGCTCGCCTGAAGCTCTTTGGCATCGACCTCCAGGAGTCTTTAGGAACCATAGTCTCAGTAGGTCTCAGCCCATGGATCACTGTCTTCCTCTCTACTTACTTCCCCACCCTTCCTCAATCATAGTTGGCGATTTTTCAACCTTTCTCGCCTATCGTCCCAACGCACCCGGTACTTTAGTTCGCCACGCCCACCAGAAGTTGAACTCATCTGCTACTTACCACATACCCTTCCGTCGGTTTTGGAATCTACGCGGATACACCAAGAAAACTGGCTCCACCAAGTTAACTCTAAAGTAAGTCCGAAAACCGAAAAGGACCAAGGTTATCTATACTAATTTGAGCACAAAAGGGCTTACAATAAAACACAAGTCCAACATGATATAAAAAAGTACAAATAATGCATGTGGAAAGTTGGGTGTACTATCTAAACAGAACATTTGTATAACATAACATAACATACACATTTAGTCTTTAGATAGAAATGTATATTGGTTTCTTTTGTATATCATATATGTATCATCTTCACAATCATAAGTTATAAGTCACACCGAAGGGAAATTAAAAACAGATGGAAAACTCTGTCCAATACTTCCACGAGTAAAATTTCCGAGTCAAATTGTAAAAAAAAAGAATCAATCCCATTTTCCTAAGCAATCAAAGTCAATTCACTCTTCCGATTTCTAGCGTATAAATCTTTATACTGATCCCATACTCTGAAAAAAAAAGAGGAATCAACATCAGATTTGCTTGCCTTTTTGCTAAAAATTTTCCATTTGACAAATCAACTAATTAAGATTGGGGAAGGAAATGACTGACGCGGTAAGTTCAGCAATGTATTCTTTCTGAACCTTTTCGATTTCTTCGAGCCCGGGGTTTTTATTTTGCTCGACTCGAATAGGTTTACCAACTGAAAGAAAATCATGAGTTCGACGGTTTTAAATTGGGTTGATATGGAAGTGCAAAAAGGTACCAACCTACTGAAACAATCGGGTGTCGATAGGGAAGCAAGCCGAGAGAGTCTGGTAGAAGTGCAAATTTGAGCCCCATGTATCACAAGATGAGCTAAACGAAATTTAGAAAACATGACTGACAGTTGAAGATACCTCGGCCATGGAAAACAGCTGCCAAACAACAGAAGATGTGGTGAGTACCTGATCGGGTCGAAATGGCTAAATGTACTCATTTGTCATAGCAAAAGTGGAAGTGACTTACGTAAGGTAAAGCCAAATACAGCTTGAAATCGTTTTTGAAGAGAGTAGAGTGCCGTGCCTTTTGAGTTTGATAATTGGGCGTAAATCTTCATTTCAATTTTACATTTGTTTTGGACAATCAGGTTCCCAGTCAGTCAACGAGAAGAGGAGGTATGATCGAATCACGACTCACGTCATTCTCTCCAAAGGAGAACACAGGGACGAGATCGGCTCTGAGGTATTAGCCAACGTGACAAGGGAAAATGTATGAAGTTGGTAAGAATTCCTACACTGAGCGTCATAGATGCGATATATATATGGCCATGGAAACGGAAGAAAACTAACCCTTCTCGAATGGCCAGTTTGATGAAACCCAGCCGTCGTTTTAGAGTGAGATCGGCTGTTCCAGGATGAGCAGACAAACTTTCCGCAGCCCCACCGACAACGATAACCAAACAATTTCCTTCGCCCTTATTGTTCTTGACATCAGCTGAGCGTTTGTTTTTGGATTTGAGGATCGAGATGCATGATTTGATCGACACCGAACAGATTCCAAGACTGAGGATCAGGTCTCGATAGAATGGGATGATAAAGTTCGTGCTCAATGTGAGTAGATGTGGATTGAGACCAGGGAATTTTTCCGAAAATCCTGTCGCTGTTTAGGGTTTATAAAGAAGAGGTGAGAGTCGGATAAAATAAGCATTTCAGAATGATCTCTTTGAATACGGCGACCGTGTCATTGAAAAAAAAACCCGAACCTTCCGTTCCAAAGTTGGCCACCGCGCCCCTTTGAAGGAACATGCACAGAAAAGGTTCAATACGCGCATTCTATTCATTTAACAGAGTGAAAGCTTAAAGCTCACATTCCGATGATACCATGAGGGTGGTAACCTGCGAATTTGAGACAAAACTCTCTCATCAATGTCTATATATTTTTCCTGAAGATTTGGGAAGGACCTACCAAAGACATATTTGCGGTCACTGGGCAAATCAACAGTCTAGATAAACAAAGGATATATTGTTGGATTATGAGCGACTGAATCTTTTGTATCATGGACTATTTCCACAGATGAATGAGCTTACTTTGATTAAACTGATTGGGAAATACGACGCAAATAGATTCCAAAACTTCCAGGTCCGAACAGATTGATTCAACCGGCCACCCTTCTCGGGAGCAGGATCTATGACCAAGATCCAAATAACGTATGGAAGGAGGATCGGCCAGGTGATCGGGTAAGACCTGAGAAAACAAAAAGAAACAAATCAATCAACATGATCTCTTTGTGAAATACGCAAGATCTCCATTAAGAATGGATCTTAATGAGTGACTCACATTAAGAAAAAGAATAAGGAAATGCATAGTGAGAGTTGAGAAGTCCATAAGAGTACTGCGGCCGTTTGGATGCGCCTGTAAGGAGGTACACGAATCGGAGCCCAGCTGTTGAAGTAATAAGAACAAACGGCAGTCAGATGCAATAGAAATTATTCAGACTTCTTTTCTCCCATTCTACATGCTCTGTATCAACGAAGCCCTCAAGACAGACATTGGCCTTTTCTCCTTCTTGTGATTATCGCCCTCGGGTTCGGACCCAGACGGGCTTCTGGAGTCATCCTTCATCTTCGAATCGGATGGGCGAACGTCGGTCGATCCTGGTAAATGAGGAGACGAGACTATGCGGTTGGACAACAGCCAAGTCAGTCGAGTATTCTGTAGTGGAAAGAGATCGACAGTTATGTATACACGTCAGATTTCATCGACGACTATGGGATGATGATGTTGATGAGGATGATGATCGGGTTGACTGACCAGTAATCCAAAGATGTAGCTTGTAAATTTCCGAGTTCCAAGATGTGAATTCCTCTAGCTGCTTGAGAGGGAGAGGTCAACAACAAGGTAAGGATTGGTTTGATTGGTTTGGGTTTTGATGGTTGATTGATGTATGCGAGGATCCTCAGACTGACACAGCCCCCCAGCTGGAATGACGTAATCCCCCCACCAAAACCCCACTCGGCAATCGGCTTAAGGCTCACTCACAGACTGGCATCAGGCCTTTTCCACATTCTACAACATTCATTTATCCTTGACATCCCAATCTCAACTATTAAAACGAAGAACTGGGCCAGGGCAATTGCAGAAAAGACCTTGGTACTATGGTTGTGTTACAAGTTTGGATTGATTTAAATATATGTAAGACTAGGAGAGATACTGCTCTTATTTTACCAAGTATAGTAAAGAGTTCTGACAGTAAAAGAAAAGAGAAGTGAAATGATACACATCTTGGCCCCTTGGACATGAGAGGAAACGACGAGCAAAAAAAAAGACATACATACAACAACAACAACAACAACAAAACATCCTAACTACACATATACACATACAACCAGTCTTGCAAAGTGATCATGGGATGGACAATAAATTAAGTTAAGATTAAACTAACACTAGAAAACAGGCGAAAGAGATTGCTTGAGAGAACGAAAAAAAAAATGATCCGAGTATTAAACATCAATAATAGTTGTCCGAAAGAAAAAAAAAACCCCTTTGATTAATATTCTTTCAAGGAAAAAGAAAGTTTGGGATAGATGTTTAACCAGTTGCTTTCCTCCGCTTGGTAGGAGACAACGAAGAATCCGAAGAGTCTTTGGTAGATAAAGCGGCGTCAAGAGCAGAAGATAATCCTTTAGAGCTCTCTTCGAATTCGATATCTTGTTCCATTAATCCCTACCAAAAATTAACAAATGAAAGAGTCAACCAGTCAGTCCACATCAAAAATAAAAATCAAAAACGCTGAGGTTTTTTATTCTTATTGATCTTACCTCTTGTCCTCTCGAATAAAACTTGGCTGGGGTTTGACCCAGGACGACTGATTCATCTATCAGAATATATCGGATCGAAGATTGGGGAGCAGTGTACATGGAATCCAATAAAATCTTTTCCTTTTTTTTGGAAATGGAGATAAAAGTCGAGGAAGATGAAAATAGAAAATAAGAGTTAACGAATCGAGAGTTGTGAGTTGTGATATTCGCGGGGAGAGGGTGTGGATGGAAGAGCTTACCATGATCTGTCTCAATCCACGCGCGCCCGTCTTCTTCTCGTTCGCCAAACGAGCGATTGCGCGTTGAGCAGGAAGGGTGAATTTGATAGCGACGCCGTTGATCTTGAACAGCTGTTCGTATTGTTTCAAGAGACAGTTCTTAGGCTCGGTGAGCACGCGTAAGAGGTCATTTTCGGTCAAGGCTTTGAGACTGGCAAGCACCGGGATCCTCCCGATGAATTCGGGGATCAAGCCGAACGCGTTGAGATCCGCCGGCTCGACCTGTTCCAGTGCGTCCGGCAATCTCCCATGGGCTGTATTACCACTGCCCTCACCTTCTGAGCGTAATCCGACCGGAGGTAAGTCGCAGCCGTCGTCGGATCCGGGTTGGTTTATCAGAGAGGCACTGAAGCCGATCGAGGTCTTCGAAATTCGCTTGTTGATGATCTTCTCTAAACCTACAAACGCACCAGCAAGAATAAAAAGGACTACCAATCCGAACAAAAGAGGAAAAAAAAGAAGCAGAAGGCTATGTATTAGCATTAACTGAAGAAGGTTTATAAATGTTAATCCAGGAATCAATCAATTTACTGTTGGAAGTGTCGACTTGAATCGGTTGGGTACTCTTTCCACTGCTTGAGGCAGGGTCCTGATGACGCCCACTGGCGGAGCTAGTATCAGCTGCGCTGCCTTTATCAGCAACAGTGACCATAGTTCCTTCGAGCATTCTCAGCATAGCCTGTTGGACGCCCTCTCCGGAGACGTCCTTGACATAACCATCGCCAGACTTTCGGGCAATCTTATCGACCTCGTCAATAAAGATGATTCCTCTGGATGCCTTGGTCGCATCATTGTTGGCTTCTTGATACAGTCGAACAACCGCAGACTCTACATCTTCTCCCACATATCCGGCTTGCGTGAACGTGGTTGCACATGATTCACTGTATGGAACATTCAACTGTCGGGCTAATGTCCTTGCTAGAAGCGATTTCCCACTTCCCGTTGGTCCTAATAATAAGATGTTCGATTTATTTAAGACGGCATCCAATACCTCCTGTGACTTGATAGTTTCCGATCCAGATTCATTGAAACTGGTCGATTCGTTTGGAGTGCTTTGGGTTGAATTCATTCGGTGGATTGAAGTCTTCCGACTCTCAGATTGGGTTGGAAAATCGGTTGGATCTGCTGATTGCAGACGGCCGGATTTCTTCTCATCCGCGAGCTGTCCTATCTTGGGCTTATTGAGATCCTGTAGTTGCTGTAAGATAACTTGATCATTGTTTGGGATACCAATCGGCGAATTTTCCCATTCTCTCCCCTGTGCATTGGGGGGTGAAGTAGCATTCCTTTGATACAGTGTGCTTGAGTAAGAAGGGGTGAAAGGCAGCACTTCATTGTCATCGGGCGCCCCCTGATCTTTCTGGTTCGCAGACGGATGCTTCTTTTTCATCTGACGAGAAGTCATCTGACGTATCCTATTCTCCAGTTCCTCCCGCTCCAATCTTAAGCTAGCTTCGACCGCCTTTGACATGATCAGATTGTGAGCCAACCCATTAGGCGGATGAGGTCGGAGCGCAGTTGGCGGGATACGATTGATATTTTGAGATGATTCGGAAGAATGGGGCTGTTCGACGTCGGTATTGGTCAAGTTTACTCTAGTCTGACTCGTTTCATTTGCCGCTAATTTAGAATCAGCCTCCAGCTTGACTTGTCGCTTCCTCTTCTCTTCGACCTCCAGGAGTGCATTGACCCTGATGTAATGGTTGAAAACCGCCACCGACAAGATCTTCTTTGCATCCGATTGCGCAATCACATAGTTGTCCAACTCGCGGTGTATGTCGCGTGGGCTGGGAAGTGAGGAAAGGCCAGAAGTCGTGGGCTCATGATCCTGGTTCAACCGGTACATCCGTACTTGTTGAAGAGAAGTCGAGCCGGAATTTGGAAAGTTTTGAAGACACATGGGGGCACTAGTTCGGACGAATTTCAAACATGAACGATGAACGAATGATGATGTATTACTGAAATTTCCATGAAGTGGCACCACGGCTTGCTTCAACTTAATTAGATGAGGGGTCCTTTTTCCCAACTTCAACATCTGCAAATCGTCATTCTCTAATTAGCTTTTCTTTTCTGGTGGATATCTCCAATTGAAATAGGGAATCATGCTGGAGAGATCACTCACCCTTCAGGAGCTAGGAGTGTAAACTTCGGAGAGGTGAGGTACTGAAGAAGGAGGTCTTGGTCAAAAATACGACGATCGAGTAGGCGGAAAGGTGTCAGCATCAACGGAAGCGCAATTCGAGATGGTTCCCACGAGCTCCTTGGCGATTGTTGGTCGGACTTGGTAAGTATCATAAACAGGATGCTCAGCATATAAATGGTAAGATTTGGTCGATTGACACTTGAGGCCGCTTTTGAGTATGATCGCATCGGGTACCACTCGGGCCGGGGGTCAAGTTCGGGGAACCATGATCGTCGGGCTCAGAGCAACCGCATCGGACGAGGATTAAGTAGCGCTGGATCCCGCGGGGTACCCGGCAGCTCTGCCCCGACCCGAGGACCACAAATTTTTGAACCTCCCAATATGTAAGAAATCAATTTAAAATTCCAAAAAATAATGGATAATAAGCCTGTAAAAATTAATTAAAAAACCATGTTGAATGCAATATTCAAGAAAGAGTTTTCATTTTCATGCAAAGTGATCATTACCATCATTTTGAACATGTCTCAAAGTGTGGGAAATAAATTTAAAAATGTCAGAAAATATTGAGAAATAACATGTAAAGAATTAATCAAAAAAATGTCCAATTTCAGTATTAAAAATGAACCATTGATTTTTTTTTTCAAATTGGATTTTACCATTGAATTCTACGCATTTTATAGTGTAGGAAGCAACTTTAAACTTTAAAAAAATAACGAAAAATTAGGTGTTAAAAATTGATTTAAAAAACACGTCCAAACACGGAATCGGTGTGTGCTGCACAGTGCAGCGCTGCTGTGAAACCGCGTGTAAGCGCGGAAAAACCGTGTTTTTTTATTGAGGCCCTTTCTAGAATGGCTCAATTTGCCTAAATCTCTTTGATATTCTCATGTGAAATTTTGTTCAAAACAATTGGCATCAAAATTCTCTTTGATGGTATTGCCACCAATCTTGTTACTTTTTTCAATTTGTTTTGTTGAACCAGTGAATAAGAATACATACATGGTCCAAAACCAGCAAAATTTTGTAAATCTTTTTGACCAATTTCTCAGAAGTGAAAAAAACTCATAGTTGCTGAACGGTCAAACAACTATGCATTTAGGCAACACCAGTCCGTTAAAGCTCAATTTGAATTTTGAAGGTTGGATTGTCTGAGTTTGCTATTGTAGGGGAAAGCATAATGTTAAAATTAAGTAGAGGAGGCATTTTGAAGGGTGATATGTCAACATTGAAGCTATGAAAACTCTAAATAAACTAGTTCAAAGGAACTATTTATCAAGCAAAATTCAATATCTGCTACACCAAAAGGGTGAGATTTTGTCACGCCAGGAAGTGCCTTTAATTCATAAGTCCCTCTCCCTGCGGGAGAAAACACTTTGACCAGTGGCTACAAGACCACAGGGACAAGGGACTTGGATAATTTTGTGTCATTGTGCATATCTAAAATGTGATCCAACACTCTTCACCTTTGTATGACAGGTAATGGATCACGTTTTAGGTATGACTATGTGCAATAACAACACATTCTGTCATTTGATGTTATCACACCTGCCTAAAATGTGATGTAATACTTTTTCTAGCGTGGACCCTTGACCTGCATGACTGGGGGCTGGAAGTATGGAGTGCATTATCTGGAGTTTGGCAGGTACCCCCCCCCCCCCCCAACAGCCTACATGTGCCAAAGTTCCATCTCTAGTTCATTCAACAGTAATTCTTTCTAGAAAATTGGCATGGTAGTCAACAAGCAGTCTAAAATAATGTATTCAATGTAGATGAATCTACCGGCCTGGAGCCTTTGCTCTTCTTTTTTAGGTTGTTATTTATGTGAATCAAGCCTTACTACAATCTTCAAATTAAAATCAAACTATGTTATGAGGATTCATCATTGACTTATGAGGTTTCTCCCAATGCACTTTTATCTCAGGGATTATTTCAACAGATAACTCAACTTGTGCTCTTTTTGGTTGAGGGGAGAAATGAAATGTTTTTTTTTTTTTCAATTCTGGAATATAAGTTTTGCATAACTGAATTTCACCCTTCTGAATATTCTTTTAGTAAGATGCCAAGTATCGCTCAAATCGCGCCTCGAATGAATAAAAATAACAACCTGTAGCTAATGTGATGATGGGTATTTTGTAACATGAATCGCAACTACCGACCGGTGATCAGAACACGCTTCATGTTAGTTGATTTTCGCCCAGCGGTGTTCGAATGAAACCATGATCGTATCCCGGACGTCTTGGATTTTTTGCATTTTGATCGTAGTCCTATTAGAACACTCTGTATTCTTCCCTGTGGCAACGCTTCCCGCCTTTTCTGCCCCGCGGAACAACATTCCGTGTTGATTTTTACAGAGGTTTAAGACTTTCAAGACACCTTTCGGAGCCAATCGATCTGGCTTTGTCGGCATGGCCGCTGGGATTACGTGCTTATCTTGATTCGAATGAATTTTTTTGGCTGATATACCACTCACTGACGTTCGATCTGAGAAATCTATGAAAATAAGCTCCTGTAGGCTTTGTGATTTGACTAGATAAGGTGCCGAGTAGGTGCGGAACTGATCAAGGACGGCATCGGTGGTGGTGGATCGGTCAGAATAATCCAAAAGTTGTGGGGAATTGAAATGGTTGAAGACAAACTGTCGAAGGTAAGGAAATCGTGCCAGTGCTGAGGCGTATTGGTTCTGTTTGATTCACGGTCTCAAAAAGCACTCAGCCAGCGCCACTTTGAAAGCACTGTTATTCAGCAAATCTTGCGTAACCACTCACGACTTCACCGTAGTATAAATTTTCCTTCCCTGCGAAATGAAGTCCACACTTGAACACTTCGATCTCGGGGAATTTGCGGTGAACCAGCTGAAAAAATTCAGGACCCATCGGGGATTCTCGAACTCCCCCAAAAATCTCCAGCTTTCGAAGACTTTTGTGACCATCAAGAAGCTGGACCATTTCCGGGGTAAAATTAGTGATATGAAGCGAAATCTCTCTCAAATTGTTGACTTGGTTGATTAGTCCCACCCAGGTTGGCTCTATGTCATTCACTTGAATCGCTTCAAGGTGTGAGATCGTGGTTAAGCGCGCTATACGATTGGCCAGACCTCGAAGTGAAGATTCTGAATCCTCCACCTCAGAGAGAGTAATAGACAATGCCTGCAGGTTTTTCCCAACACCTCGTTCTAGGCACGACAAGATGGTTTCGTTATTCAAACGGGACAGGCATAGGAACTTGAGATTTGAAAAAGATCTGGCAAGTCTAGCGGTAGAGCTAATGAGACCCGAAAACATGCCCGAGTACTTTGGTTGATAGTAAGCTTGGTTGGAAATGAATAGCCAATTGACATTCTGTGCCCCGGACCAGCCTCTAGCAACTGAATCGTGCGTTTCGATGGTTCTCGAATATGGATAACCAGCAGTGCTATAAGCTCGCCCCGACTTATCTCGGCGTGGTTGTAGACGTGGTTGGCTCAACGTGTGTTTTGTAGAGGGAAGGGTGAGGACTACTTGTTTCTGGTAAATCCGTTCGCAAATCGAATGGAGATACTTGCAAGTGAGCCCGAAATTCAGCAGTTCTTTGAACTCAATCAAGTTTGATTTCCTAGCTTCTATCCGAAGTAGTTTACCCAGCTGATTAGTCTTTAAAGCACGATGCCGCTGGCTTGGATGGTTTATTACTAATTCTACAGCGATATTCGTCAGAATTTCAACTGGAAATTCAAGGATTGATCGCGGTTTTCTTGGATATTTGAGTGTGTTGGTGCTCGAGGAAGAGATGCCACTGGCCAGGTCGGGGACTCGGGTAGCGGGACACGGAGGTAAGGGAGCGAGAGGCATCTCTTTAGTTTTTTTCGAAGGTAGAGCTTTGTCGTTTTACCTGTCAGTGAAAGTCATTAGATCATATCCAGTAATTTGTACAAAATTTCTTATCTGCTCAATCAACCTAAATTGACTGCAGCAAAAGGCAAACAAGAAAGGGTAGCCTACTATGGGTTTTGTGTGGGTCTCGAGAAAAATCTAAATATTCATGAGCTCCCGTCGGTTCAAAATGGTAAATTGGCAGGGATCAGGGCGATTCAGAGAGATGTACCGGTTGCAATATGTCCTTTTAATAGGGATTGTGTTATTTGAGTAAACTAGCTGCTATGTGATGTGTTTGACTTGCGCTGATTCCCAGGTGAAGCCTTGCCAACTGTGGAGTTGCTACCACCGACTATAATTGGTAGCGAGGTGTTCACTAGGGGGCAAAATGAGTGTTACTTAAATGTCAAACTCCGAGTAACCAGAGACGAGGCCAACCTGAGTGGGAAGGGAACGGCCCTCCATCCATACAGCTGCTCAACCACGCTCTACCCGCATTTCCATTTTGACACCTTCGACCAAACGTCGTATCACGTTGACGATAACGATATGACTCTGCAAACCCTAGCCAATTCAAGCTTCGGGAAAGTGTGTGGTCCTCGACGAAGCACCAACCCCACCAAAAGAAGCTTACAACTGGCACCGCCATCCTGAGCCCTGGAGCCAGAGCAAAGGCCTACCTCGGGAATAATCGGATCCTGGGTTTATCTCCTCTGACCTGTACCAACGTGGTACCCTCCGACTCGTTGAAGCATCAACCAGGTTGTATTGTGCGACCACGATCAAGTCCGCACATATGACTCCGCAGCACAAGGGGTTGTAGTGTAGTGGCTATCACGCGTCATTTGCAATGACACTCATATGACACCCCTTGGGGGTATCGGGTGGATATAAAAACTTGACGAGGTCCCGGGTTCAATCCCCGGCGACTCCAGCTTTTTGGATTATTCCTGCATTACGACACTGCGATCCGAGCACCCTGTGGAGTATGTGTCTAGAGCTCCTTCAGGCACAACTCCAACTTTTTTGTGGGGCCTCCATCTGGTCTAGAGCTCCTCCAGGCAGCTGCCCATCATACAGGCAGTGAAGGGATAGCCAATCCTTACAGTTCTCCTGATACAGCTATTTCGGAAAGGGTTGTCCACTTGGACTCGCAATTTTTTTTTTTTTGAAATTTTTTCAAGTTTTCTTTGTACTGAACTACAGCCGAGGAGGTACAGCTGTCATCCGTAGTTCAGTTCTGACAGGTCCAGTTCAGTAAAAAAATAAAAAAATAAAAAAGCTTTCCGAAATAGCTGTATATACTCAGATGAGTGCTTGGAGTGAATGAAGAGTTTTTTAACTTCTAAATCATTAGGATTAGGAGTGTTGATTCAACTAAGATGATCAACCTTCCTGTAAATTAGTTTCTTGTGTTGTATTTGGTGGTTATTGTGGTTGTTGTATATATAGATAAGCAGAAATCAAAGAAGTAGGATAGATGGGAAACAATGAATGTCATATCACACCACTTCCTATACTCAAGCAAAGGCATAATGACAATTCATGCAGAAACTTTTTGCAAGGATTTTTGGTGGGTTTCTATGATTCAAAACCTGTTCAAAACCCTGGAGAGGTAATGAATTTAAATTGATTGATAGGAGATCAGGGAAGCAGTGATGTTACATGAAGATGTTGTGCAGCCACTAAATTTTATTTTTGAATCTTTGATGTTATTTCCTCAAGTGCTATTTACAAAGACCTGGAAGGAATGAGGGAGTGTTTGGGTGGATTTCATTGTACAATGGCTATGAATTTATGTTCAAATTGATATTGAGGCCATTTATCAATAATCAGCTGAGAGGAAATCAAAAATAATTACAAATTGGTAACTCACATTTGCCTCTCTTATTTTTAGAACTTTGGTCATCCACTTTGATTTGGTTTTCTGTGTATTTTTGGAATAGAGCAGGTGAAAAGTTAGAATTGGTGTAAATTGGACTGAAGGATATGGACATTATACATACTTTGTTTCTTATCAATTGTGTTGCTTGAATATGGAGATGGTGACCCTCTTCTAAAGTTATCAGTATTTTGGGAACAAATTTCTTCAAAATCAAAGTTGAAAGTTGGATTTTCTTCTTGATAACATTGTAAGTCAAACCTGAAGCTTTGAGGGTAGAATTTGCTTCTTGCTCCCCTCAGTTCAGGTATGCCAGTATTCAAGAATACTCTGGTTTTGTATCTTTCAGCTTTCTCAAACAAAACAAAATAAAATCAAGTTGGATTGCCTATGTCAATTTCTAATTGGAATAAGAATATGAAATTGAATAAAACCTACAGGCTTTGAGGTGTGAATCAAATTGATTGGTTGCAAAATTTAATACTTTATTCAATATTTTGATTAATTTCTTGGGTGAAGGTGACATCAATTCCATTTGTCTGAGCTTGTTCTTTTGATCCAAGTAGGAAAAATAGGTTTGTTTCCACCACTGAAAAGCTAATGAAGAATTTTTTCTTTCCTTTCCAAAATATTTTGTTGAGTCTTCTTTCAGGTAAGAGTGAGTTTGGATAATTTGTTCCCAAGATTGAGCTTTTTTCTCCAAATTGTAATCTTCTGGATTTGTTGCATAATGTTCACCAATTCCAGAGTATCTGGCTTGAGAGTATGTTTCTATCCTTTCAGAGTCCTTTGGATTTGGTATGAACATCTTGTATTTGTGCTTGTGCATGTAGATGGTATTTTCAAATTTACAGTATCCAAATTCAAGGGGTCTTTTTGCAGCCAAGTAAAAATTTCCTGTAACTGAAAGATGCCTGATGAATTTTTCAAGAAATAGCACATAATGATATTCATTTGACCTCCCAATTTCTTCTTTGAAATCTTTGGATATGTACCCACAATCAGAATTCATCAAAAGTTTTATCAGATCATACAACAGCTTGTAGTTCACATGGTCATAATAAGGCTTTCTTCCAGGGTGCATAAATTCAAGTGTGGTGATGGCCATAATTAACTCCCTAATGATATTTTCATAGGCATTGGTTGTTTTAATTTCTGGAGGCATAATCTTGATTATCCCAGAGCAATTCATTTCAATAGATTTCCCCTTCAAAACTTCAATTTTTTCCTTTACATATGGAGATATGTATCTTTTGTTCTGTTCAACTGTAGTGCGGAGGTAATCCAATTCTACCATTGTCCAAAAATCCTTATCCAGTACTGACAATATAAAAATAGATTTAATTTGGTTTGATCTACTCATCTGAAGATATTAAAAAATGAATTAATTAAGTACCTTTGAGAAGAAATTGCAATTCTCCATAAAAGGAGCTCTGAAGGATCCTGGACTTGAGGTCAATAGTGAGTAGATATCTTCCAATTGGATTCTCATACCCCAATAAGCTGTTTATGTGGTTCAAAATTAACAGCTTTCCCCTTGTTCCCCTGAGGAAAAATTGTATATTTTTCAAATTACCCTTTTTTTGCTTTATTGATTCAGAGAGAAATAACACCATTAGAGCTTCCATTCTTTGATACACAAATTTTGTTCCATCTGAGGTTTTGATGGATTCCAGCTTGATCCACATCTTTTCCCATTCTGTGACAAATTTATTTACCACATCTTCATGCACTGGGATACTAGTACCAAAAAGATTGAATGTAGATGAATCTATCTCATAAGTGTTTTCTAAAGCCGCCTTTAACTGAGAGAAATGTCTCAGAATTTCATGCAGGTATTCCTTTTGATTTTCCATAATGAAAGTGTACTTGATGGTATCACCAAGACTATTCAGATTAATTTCAAGCATTTGTTTTGAATGTTCAATTGGAAGAACTGTGGATGAGAAATTTCAGTTCAGATTGAATAATCACAAAGGAAATGAAGACACCCTCAAATACTTCAGTCTCTTTCAAGAGCTTTTTGAATCCCATTGATCTTCAAACAGAAAAAAAATAAAATAAGACAAAAAATATTTGTCTTAATGAACCCTTCATTAGGCCATTACTAACCTGTATTAATCTTCATATCTCTCCAGTCATGTGTATCTGCTTCATGAGATGATAGATCTTGACCAATCCAACAATTTTATTCAATTAAAAAAAATGGAGATGTGAAAAATTGAACTTGTTATCTCAAGCAGAAATGCAAAAAAGAAGAAATATGCAGATAACTGGGAAGATATGCAAAATTACTCTTCTGTTTTTCTTACCATTCATTCTTTGTGTAAATTCACTACCTTCTGCATTAATGTATGATTTATCATCCAGATTTTCCATCAGATGTTCACTTGCTTTCACATGGAGACAGCTGTATCCAATAAGTGCTTGCCAAATTACCATCTGTGATATCAAACAGAAATGGATGAGAGCTTGGGTAAACGTTATAAGCATGAAGGAAGCTTAAGATGTATCTAGATTCTAATATCAAAAAATGTGCCTAAGATTTTCAAACTGGATTGAAGTGTATGGCTTTTTTGGTGAAAGAAAAACTTGGAGCAACTAATTTATGGAACACACATCCTGAATCAAAAGCACTTGCTAGGAATTTTAGAGCTTTGATGTGTCAGCTAGTTTTAGTAAAATAAAAGTATGAATACCATGCCATGATACCATTACCAACACCAAAACTGAGACAAGATATGTATTGGTATTTGTATGTATTGTCTCTGTTTTGAGCCTGATACCTGGTGTCAGTATTTCATTGGTTGGTGAGACAATCCACTGTCTTGAATTCAGTGGCTTGAACCATGCAAGAAAATACAGGTGTATCTGTTTCTTCATTGACATGGCCAAATATATTGTGTATGTATTAAAGACATTTTTGGTGGGATCAGCCCACTGAGACAATACACATATCTATCTTACTTTCTAAAGCTAATACATTTGTATCATCCCAGGACAGTGAGACAACACAAGGATTGGTATTTTTGGGTATTCAATACAAATACACACCAGCTGATACTGTCTTGTCTCATCTCAGTTTCAGCATTGACATTAATACACATGTTATTATCCACCATGTACAGGTTTGATGGTGGACCACCAGCCTTATTCTGACTTTTGACAAATATGTATGTTTGTTTTACAAAATAATCTGTATTATATGTGTGCTTTATGACCCAATTTCTGGTCCCATGCATTCTCACCAATCCATCTGAGACTGACTGCACATGTTGTGGATGACTATTGTAAAATACTAGGGAGCTTGCGGCAAAGTGGCGTCCCCTGAACTATAACAGTACCCAATACCCCCAAAATGCCTCTCCTGTTGCCAGGCATTTTTCCACAATCAACCACAATTACCAACAACATTGACTGAGTCAATCTTCAGAACTGTTTCCTCACTTTGATCTAGATCAAACCAAAGTATCATTCAAACTACTTGAATTAGTACTGTTACTTTTGCTATCCCTTGTACCTTTACCAGGCTAACAGACCAGTCTAAATCCTTCTTCTGGCTCCATTGTCTTTCCAACCGGTGCGGAACTGCTCAGCAAGTGAGTAAAGAGCTTGTAGGGGATAAACATTAATAAAACTATAAAATAGTAATAATAATGAATGGATGTGGGTGATGGGGAGTTATAATCACACTCCACTCCCCTTCGCACACACACTCCAACACTCCCTTCTCTGAAGGGAGTGTGGGACCGCACTCCAATTGAAATTGGAGTGCGGGTCCGCACTCCAACCCTCTGCGCGGGAATTCCCCCAGCAGGTTGGCGTGCGGGTCCGCACACCAATTTCGATTGGCATGCGATGCTGCACGCCAGCCGTTAAGCAAGGTTGCCTTGCTTGCAGGCAGGCGTGCAGCCAGTGATTCCATATGCCTCGACCTAAACCCATATTCATATGGGTTTAGGTTGAGGCATATCCCATAGGACCCAGG